CCTTGCATGTACATATGAGCTATAGTCTAAACTCCTAGTATCCCCCTTAATAACCCCTATAGTAGTCCCCTATATAATCCCCTATATAACCCCCTTTAAGGAGTTTAGAGCATGGCTCATATGATAGGGGCTCTACTTGAGCAATGGAAAAGACACTGGGAAAGCTGTAGGGTGTAGGGTTAAAGGCTCAGGATTAGGTTTAGCGCTTAGGGTGTATAGCAGTATGGTATATAATAGGCTGGTACACTTGTTTTCCTAGTAACCATTGAAAGGCAGTGAAAAGTACCACATCATAAAAAAAAAAATTGGGTTTTCTTTGAAGTCTCCACGGGCTTCAGCAACACTGCATGCAGCTTCTACTAGTTTCTTGGCATCGGTCGGTGATGGAAGGTTTGGGAATCAAGCTTCTTGAAGAGTAGTTGGCATAGAGGCTTGAGTGCGTTTTTGCTAGCTCACCGTGGGTTCGTGTTCAATGTAAGACTGGGTTGCTGTTCAAGGACTTAAATTACCATAATATGGGTATATGGTAAACAATAAGTTTCCTTTTTCTGGTGATTTTCTTTTAAGCTCCTTGAAGGCGACCCAGAAATTCTTCTGGGCCGGCGGTTCGCATAGCGTCTTCATAGGGATGGTGGGGATGCAAGTGGCCGTTACCATAAGCTTCATAGGGGGTGAGGCGTCTGTGCAACTCATGGGTTGCAGTGTGTTCGGAAAAGTTCGAGGCGCTGCCGAGCATGAGTTCCCCTCGTACCCGCTTCTCTCCTACCCCCTAGCTTCTCCCTCAATTCGCCATAAGTAGCCCTGGTCATCCTTAAATGCCCGCATTATGAATATTTAGGGGCGTAGTAGGGAATCCATCAGTCAAGGTTAGGGGCTTACGTGTAGTTAGCCAGGACCTGATGGCAAGGCGCCCAAGCAAGTATTTGATTACAGAGGGTTTAGGGTATAGGGTTTGGAGCCTCCATGATAGACCCTACAACTCAAACCGTTCACCGCAAAAAAATGCTACACACTTCAACCCCGAAGCATAGAACCTTAAACTCAAAACCTCGACACCCGAAAACGCCCTCAGAACCCCCCAATCCAAATATCTACATCCTGAACCCTAATCGCTAAAAGTGACCTTAAACCCGAACCCCCTAAACCCTAGGCCGCAAAACCCTAATGCCCCACACCCGCCAAAGGATCCAAAAAACGGAACCCCCCAATATGAACCCATTACTACATTGGAGAAACTAGCGGATTATTGGAGGGCTCCATTTTTTAGATCCTTTAGGAGGTCTGGGGCTGAACCCACAAACCCTAAAGCCAAGATGCTCCAAGGCGAAGAAGTCGCCGCGCGGTCTTCATCACGTGGGGCGCCATAATAGCAGAGAGGCTCAAGTGAGATCGTGATGCCCTGTGCGGTAGAGAACATCTAGGGCAGAAATCCCCTCTTGATGATCATGATCTGGAAGCTTTCTGACAAAAAAATCCTGAAAATCCGGAAAGCACATCCGCACTAGAATTCCATATCTCCTTGTTGAGGCCCTAAACCCTAAACCCTGAACTTTTGTTGAGGGAGAAACTGTCCAAGCTTGCAGGAGACCGCCTGTGCCTTGCGACAATGATGTGAGTGGCATGGCCCCAAATGGCTGCTGCAGAAAGGTCTGTGGAGATGGACCTCCTGCAGAAGGTTACGTAGGGTTTTATAGGCTTATATAGGGTATAGGGCTAAGGGCTTAGGAGCTTCCGAAGATTAGGAGTACCTTTTAAGGGGTCCCTATAACAAGGATCGCAATATTTGGAGGTCTATATTGCATGGAAACCACCAAGATCTGTTGTGGGGACTCGTTTCTAAGTGGCTGACCGGCAAAAGATATGATAGTTTCCCTAGATAGGGGACCCCCAATATAGACCCCAAAATACTTTACTGTAGTCCTTATTGTGGGGACCCCCAAAAGGGTATCCCTAATTTTGGGAATCCCCCATATCTAGGAATTGGCCTGAAACACCACAAGGACTTGTAGTGCATCCGAAACTCAAGTCTAGGGACCCGTAACCATCGCAAGATAGGGAAATCTCCTAAGCCCTTAACCCAAAAACGCATGTGAATGTGGGTGGTTGTCAAAATTATGGTCCCTTTTTGGGTACCCTAAATATAAGGTGCCGTATTATAATAGGGACCCAAATTGGGACCATAATTTTGACTACCCCCCATGTGAATGTACGGGTTCTTGCAGGGGAACCCGCGGACCCCCTTTGCAGGCATAACTCTCGTAAGGTTTAGGCGTTAGGGTCTGGGCTGTTTGGGTTTATATACCTTTGGCCTCATCTATGTGACGTATGATGACATCATTACGTACCCTACTCACAAGCAACCTAGTTCAGGTTCGCAGTCTTTCACAAAGTCATGCCGTATAGCTTTACAAGTCTGGAGCATTGTAGCACTGGCACTTGCCACTAAGGCAAGGCAAGGGCTGGATTGTGCCACTTGCATGTCAGGCATGCGGAACAAAATCGTCTTCTTGGAAGACACGGAGGGCTGTACAAGTGGCCTTCCTGGCAGATGCCGGGGCTCCGGCACAAGGTCCGAAACCCCCACACACCTGCAGGCTCCGCTGCAACGCGGATACCGTAAAGGATTGGCAGCAGGGTTGCATAGCGTGCCTGTACCCAAGCGGTACACGCCTCCAACACCTGCTTCTTCTGGACAAGTTCAACGGAACCCAGGGGCTCCCTTAGCTCCAAGCCTTAAGAATGGACGTATGGGTCCCTTTGGTAGTTTAGGATGGTCCCGACCATATTCCCTTACAGGAACTTCTCTCTTCCCTAAATCCTTAACCCTTCCTCTTAGCTTGCAGTCTGGGCGAGCTGAACACCGGTCCCCCTCAGGAGTACCAGGCCAGTCTCTGGCGATTCCAGCTTCACCTTGCTGTGTACCCTCAGGGGGGGTGGGCTCTAAAAACTGGATGCCCTTGGGGACCCTAGGGATTCTACGGGGATTATGCGTGTCCTTATTTGGGCTGAGGCTTCAGAGAGTGTTCTAAAGGCGGCTCGGCGAGCAAGAATTGAGCTTTCATGGAGGAGCAGGCCCTAAACCCTAAACCCTCATGTCTAGAGATAGGGTCCTAGGGCTACCACATCTCATGGCTGCCCATTTCGTCATTCGGCGTGCTGCATCTCTACACACAAGCTCGTTGAGGACAACCCAGAATTCATGTGCCTGCAACTTGGCCAAAACCTTCTTAAGAATGGAAAGAAGTGCAGAGGCTACTCTTGATCACGGCGGCATTTATTTTGGGCAACATAACTGTAGCATCAACACATATGCCCTATCTAGTCGCTGTACTTGCAACATGTGATGAACATGATTGCGACGCAACTGCCACACAAAAAAAAAATATAAATGATTCCTGGACCCCCCGAGCTTTGACTCAAACCTTTGAGCCCAAAACCTTGCGCACAAACAGTATTCCCTCAGGCCCTTAGTCCCTGAACCAGCGGCTGAAACATCCTATGACCCCAATCCATAAACCAGCAGATTGAGACGCGAAAAAAAAAATAGCCACCGAAATGCTACACTGCTACAACTGCTGAAAGCATAAGCCCAGACTCCCCAAACCTTAAGCCCCCTATTTTCTGAACTCCCCAAAAGAACCAAAACCCCTGACCCAAAATGCCCCTCAAAGCCCCACCCCCCCCCCCCAAATAAGCCTCCCCCGCACAACTCCCACGCAAACCTACTAAATCCTAAAGCCTAACATCCCTCTATCGCTCACCCCCAAGCCTATACAAGCCCCAAATCCCTCAACCCCAAACCCTACACCCCTAAAATCCCTGAATAAACCCCAAAACCCTGAACCCTAAACCCTAATCCCTAAACCCTAAACCCCAATCCTGAAACTCCGAACCCTAAACCCTAAACCCTAATCCCTATAAACCCTATCCCAAAAACCTATAGTCCCCCTTAAGTAGATGGAATATGGCTTTGGGGTATATTCTAATAAGATCCCCATATACCCCATATTCTATCTACTTAAGGGGGACTATAAACCCTAAGCCCGAAAATCCCTACACGTCCTCAGCCAGGTGACCCCGAGCACCGCGTGGCAACCCGCATGGGCAGCCTGCGCCTCGAGGCAAGCCCGGGCCTGAAAGAGAGGACGGTTTTCATGGGTTTAGGGTTTAGGGGTTTAGGGTTTAGGGGTTTAGGGTTTAGGGTTTAGGGTTTAGAATTTAAGTTTTTAGGGTTTAGGGTTTAGGGTTTTGGGGTTTAGGTTTTAGGGGTTTGGTGTTTAGGGGTAAAAGGTTTGGGTTTTAGGGCTTTAACGAGGTTCAGGGTTGCCTGAAATTCCCCCTGAACTAGCCTCAATTTGGCCTTAAATAACCTCGATTAAGGGGGAACCTAGGGGGAGTAGTATAGAGGGTGGTAATAGGGGAACCCATCAGGTCTACTGTAGGGGTCTAGGCCTTCGGGTTTAGGTTTAGGGATTCAGTGTTTAGGCGTCTAGGTTTTGGGTTTAAGGTTGAGGGGTTTGGGGTTAAACCTGGCATTACTTTCTGGAAGTTTGGTATGCTAGCTGGGGAGTGCGCTCTGCAGTTTTTCATGTTTATTACATACCCATATTTATGGTAGCCTCACTTAAGTTCCTTAACAGCAACCCAGTTTGGGGCTTAAGGGCCATACTTTGCAACCCCCACCCTAAACCCTATATCCCCTAGCTCTTTGGTTGCCATGAACTTTGCCTTGGTTTCTGCTACCCGAACCCCAGACGCCCTTAAGCCCTTGAACCATATAGTCCCCCTTAAGTAGATAGAATATGGGGTATATGGGGATCTTATTATAAAATATCCAAAGCCATATTCTATCTACTTAAGGGGGACTATAAGCCCAAAGCCCAAAGCCACATGAAGTCAA